AGGATGAGCCACCAGCGAGGATGCTCAGAACAGTGCCGCCTGCCTCTGTCCAGTTTGCCGGCAGAGCAAGAAGGGGCACGTTCCAGTTCGCTCTTGGGCTGGCAGGCGCAGCTCCGAGGCCGCTGCAGCACGAGACCAAACCCTAAATCCCTAAATCCCGGCGTTTCTTGCCCGCTGAGCTACACCCACCTCCAGCACCATTCCACACGCCCGCCCTCGGGGGCAGAAGCTAGCAGGAGGCCTTGCCTCACTAAGAAAAACCAAGCGCTGTGAAGAGCAACCCGCGGCCAACATTCAGAGCTTCCTCCCTCCTCCTTAATAAGGCGCCAGGGAAGTGTCTACCGTACCTTGGTTTCTCAGAGTAGTTGTGCTCAAACTGTATCCACTCGTTCTTGCTGATACAATAAATCCAAGCGTCACCTGAAAACAAGCAAAACCCCGAATATAAAGAGTCTCCTGTTAGTTCTTTCACATCTGCTGCAATAAACATGTGCTCCGGTGTAACACGGTCCATTTTCGTACTTAAATAAATCAGGTGTTTTATAAAAAAAAACCCTTCTGAAACACGGGGCTGCCTGTTCAAAACCAGGTGTTTAACAGTGGTTTACGGGAGCGAAGCCAGAAGGGAAAGACAGAGAACTTTCCAGCTCTCACTAACTGCAATTTGCATGAGATGATAGATACATTTTTAGAGCAGATTCATTTCTATAAATAATATTGTCTCCGCACACTCGGTGAAAGCAGCTGTTGACCATGAGGAGCTGGATCACAAGCGCGTGGAAGGAATTCAGCAAGACTTTTAAGGCCATAATTCAAGCTTCTGTGCACAAGTGTTCGAGAACACAAAGGCCGCGCAGAGAACGCAAAGGTGACACAAAATCCTTTTGGAATGACTTACTCAGGGGCTGCTTGTCAGTGGTGAATCCTCCGAAGAGAAAGAGGTGATCTGAGGAAATGGGTGTTAAAGAGTGCCACGACCGGCCAACGGGGCAAATCCCTTGCGTGATTCTGTGTTTCAATAAAAGCACCAGAAATTACACGCACGCTACAATAAAACCCCGCTGCCCTTTCCTGCTCTGATTATTTTTCAGCTAGTTGGAGGAGGCAGCTTCACCCTGCGCACGGCTCGCGACCCAAGAGCAAGTTTAATTTCTTTAGACACAGTCAGAAGCATTTTACTCCTGTCACCACTCGAAAAAGCCTGACAGCAAGAGTCAGCAACTGATCAGGAGGATCAGTTCTACTTGCTGGAGTTCACCCAAGTTTCCCTCGAGCGACTAGAAGTGAATAAAAGCGGCATTTTCGTATTGCTTTACGCACAAAGAACTCGGGTTTTAGTACCTACATTTCGTTCCACTCCCACGTATCCAGATTCAGGTAGTAGAGATCGTTCATTCTGGACTCCTACAATAAAGCAGACCACGGCTGAACTACTGTGCTTAGGTTTAAGTTAACGCCTCGTTAGACTGGGCCGGGGCTTACTCTGTATCTGCCACCAAACACGTAGCCTCTGTTCCCGACGGTAGCGCAGGCGTGAGCTGCTCGTGGTGACGGGGTTTTACCCTGGGAAAAGAAAACGTGAAATAAGTTGATTCGATACCTTGACCAAAGGAAATGCCGTTTCACCCCAAACCCGCAGCAGATCAAGCGCAGAGGAGCTGGCCCGAGGACGCCCATCAGGCACAGGGAGCGGCACGGCTACGGCCGCACCGGGCAGCCCCGGAGACACGCTGGGGCCGGGGCCTCCCAGGAGAGCTCGCCTGGACACCCACTCAGGGCACAGTGAGGTCTCAGAGTTCCCCAAACGGGTCACCCGAGGAGATGAAAGGCTGAACTAAAGTCAGACTTAAGGCCAGCAAGGAAGGGCGAGTGAAAAACCACCCAGCAAGGCATTCTGTGTGCAGAGTCCTGCTTTCTTTGGTGGATGGAAGATCAGAAAACTCATTAAAAATGGGCTGGGTTTTTTTTTCCTTTGTCAAGACAGAAATTTTGCTTTTAGAAGGGGATTCAGACAGTCACAGAAGACCTCAGACTGTAAAGGAGACAGTGACATAATGAATCGTTAAACAGCATTTTCCTTGAGTTACTTCTGAAGGATCTGAGATCTGTACGTAGCAAGACAAAGCAATCCTTTGGTGATCTGAATAAGGAGTTATCTCAAATTTCATTTCCTCCAATTCTGTGGCAATTATCACTCCGTTTGCCTGCTCCTGAACACTTCAGGGACACTTCAAATGGCGGGTGTTTGCAATGAGGCAGCGTTTCGTTTTATTTCGACCACCATCCGGCACCCAAGTGAAAGGTACCAAACCGTCACGTTGCAGCGAGGATGAGAGGAAACCAGACATTCCGTTTTCCTGAGCTCCCCACGAGCGCAACGCCACTGAAGCGTGAAGGAAAGCAAGCCAACAGGAAAAAAAAAAAAAAGATGAAGAGAGAAAGAATCAAAATAAAGGGCAAGTTTCCTGGTTTTGGAGAGGAGAGAGGCAAACGAATGATTTAAATTCAGCTGAAATGGCCTCACGAATGCTGCTGAACAGGCAGCAGCTCATTTGTATTTTGAGGGGATGTCTCCAAGGTCAGTTCTCCCAACAGCGTTTCAAACCCCTCCCGCAACAGCCCTTTACGAGCACATTTGGAGGCCAGGCTGCGAACACAAGCTCGTGACGCCGCACAGAGTCCACGGATAGGAGAGGAATCGACAGTCACGCTTCGCTGGCGAGAGGTTCAGGGAATTAAGGCAGCTCCTGGCCAGGTTTCCTCCCCTGGCTGGATCAGACAGAGCAGCAGCAACCAGCAGTGCTGCGGACACGGAGCTGCCCGCCAGCCCCACTGAAACAGGAGCGGCTCCACCCCGGCCACTCGTGGAGTCCTGGTCTCTGGCAGGCACTGCTCGCGTCCTCCTCCGAGCCACCAGAGGTATTTCCGAGAGCTCTCCCGCTTTTCCCACCTCCTGGCACTTAGGGACTGGTTTATATCCCGAGGAAGGCAGGATCACAGAGCACCTGAGCACTAAACACTTGGCTGGTGACACGTAAGCAAGGCTGCAGGGTGGAGCAGGAAAAGTAGGAAAACAACACCCATTTTGGGCGAATTTCCTTGCTTCTGGCTTGCAAAACAGTTCACCCCATCTTCTGCAAAGATGCCAGGGAGATAGCGGGCTGGAGACAAGACCCTGCCATGAGACAGACCAGGTTCAGAGAGCCCCACGCTGCGAGCTCGCCGAGCGCGCTCGCCACGCCGGCGGGCCAAA